ACCGTGGACACGTACAACAGAATGATATGCGTAAGGCTATGAATAATAAGTACGACGTTCAACCTATTCCTAAACCTCGGCTCCCTTTTTATAGGCGAGGTTTAGGTTAGGCGTACCAGGCTTTTAGCCTGTTTATATAGGCCTAACACTTGGCCTGATTTCTATCTAATTCATGCACTAATTAAATACAAGGATTAAATATAAAGCTAATATATGACCAACTTGATTCACAATTAAATATCTCCAACAGGGTACTTTCAAATTCTAATTAACCTAGCATCATCAAAATCTAATTACATTTATTCCTTACAATCATCAACTACAACCAGGGTGTACCTTCTACCACTTAAGCTTGTTGGTTCAACTGGTCCAAACAAGTCAAGGTGTAGTAGGCTTAAGGTCATAGTTGATGATTCCACTTCCTTTGATTTGAATGATACCTTGGTTTGTTTTCCTTTTTGATGAGCATCACAGAGGTGATCCTTTTTGAAGTTGATTTCAGGGAGTCCTTTCACCAATCCTTTTCTGGACAGTTTGTTGATTGTTTTGAAGTTTAGATGGCTTAATTTGTTGTGACATTCCCAACTTAAGTTTGAATCTTCTTTTGTCACCAAGAATATTCCTTCCTTTGCTGAGCTCCAATCAACAATGTACATGTCCTTCTTCCTTCTACCAGTGAGCACAATTTTGTCATTTTTGACATCTCTAATCAAGCAGATGTCTTTGGAGAATGTAACATTATAGCCATTGTCACAGAGCTGGCTTGTGCTTATGAGATTAGACTTTAAACCCTTAACATAGGACATGTTTTGGATTATAAGTCCATTAATTGATAGGTCTCCAGCTCCTTTGGTTTCTCCTTGTTTTTCCACATTCCCAAATGTTACTTTGGGTCCTTCCCTTGCTGTATAGTTTGACAGGAGCCGCCTGCTGCCCGTCATGTGCCTGGAGCAGCCTGAATCTATGTACCATGTTTGTGTTTCAGCTGCTCCAGCGCCTTCCTGTATAGATCAGTGTTGAGTAGTAACCCACAAGTTAGTGGGAGACTTCCCTTGTACAAGTTAAGGCATCCATGCCCATCTAGAACCATTAAGCTCTAAGCAGATTGGTCTACAACCATTAGAGGTGTTATAATCATAGGGAATGGCTATGTATTTATTAATCCTTTTCCTTCTTGATGTGGGAAATGGATTATTGGTTTGAGGGGTGTGCTTGACATTTTGGTTGTGGTTGGTCTTATTGGTTGGTTGCCAATGGGTTCTTGTGTGTTGATTGTTAGGAGGTGTTGATTTATACAGGAGTTTGGATTTTGGTTTGGGAGCAGGTTGGTTCCTTCTTGTGGGAACATTTGGGGAGTGGATTTTTTGGTAGATTAGCTTTCTTGTGTTTGATTGATGGCTTGTAGATGTACAGTTTTGTGTCAGTCTAGTAGGGGATGAATACCCAAGACCTCTTCTCCTCTTATTTAGAATAACCTCAGCAGTAGGGTGAAAGTTTTTACTATTTGTGCTGGAATTTTTCCGCTCTTTGTTCTCCTTTTCTAAGACATCATTTTTGCTTAAGGCATCTAGTAATTTAGAATGAATGGCCTTAATATCTTATTTCAGTCTATCATTTTCCGCATTCAAGAGAACATGGTGATTTTGGACTTTTTGGAAATCTTGTAATAAAGATTCCAGTGTTATATTGTTTTGTCCAGAATCACTAGAGCTATAGGAGGAGCAGGATGTTACCTCAACATCGTTGTAGTGGTCTTTGGCCATTAAGCATTTGGGGGAGCAGCTTTCATCATCTGTTCTTCCACTGGTGGAAGGTTCGTTGAGCCACCTGCTGCTCTCTTCAGTCACCTGCCATGATCCTAGGCAGAGAAGTGCTTCTTCCGAGCTATCTGATGAGGAGCTCTCATCACTTGAGTTGCTTTCATCATCAGTTTGAAGTTTTTGTAACCAGCTTTTTGAACAGTCCCCTGCTGCCCTTGATATTTTTGGGCTAAGGGCAGAGGGCATTCATTTTTGTAATGTCCTGGCTATCTACAGTTGTAGCACATGACAGTTTCCTCGCTGGATTGAGGTCTCCCTTGTCTTCTAGGTGGCAGGTTGTATGCTTTCTTTGAAGCAGTTCCCTCCTTCTTCATGAATCTTTTAAATTTCCTCACAAACATAGCAAACTGCTCATCAGTGAGGAGATTATTAAGGGATTTTCAGCAGATTTTGAAGTGCTTGGCTCAGACACTAAAGCTGGTGTCTTGGATTCATCTTCCTTCTCTTCTTTGATCTCCTTCATTTCAAATTCCTAGGCCTTGAGATCACTGAAGAGTTTGTCAGTTGACAAAGTTCTGAGATCTCTGCTATCTCTCATAGCAGTCACCTTCATGTCCCACTTAGATGGCAGGCCTCTTAAGACTTTAAGAGAAATCTCCTTTTGGGATAGATCTTTCCCTAGGTCTGAGACCTCTGCTATAATCTTTAGGAACCTGGATTCCATCTCAGGAATAGAATCATTAGACAACATTTTGAAGTCTTCAAATTTCTTGAGGGCTATGGTTAGTTTGTTGTCCTTTTCTTGTTCATCACCAGCTCCGATCTTTGTGAGCTCATCCCATACATCCTTTGCAGTTTCACATTTCCTTATTCTGGAAAATATGGATTCATCAACAGATTTAAAGAGAATATCTTTGGCAATGTTGTCAAGATTATTCCTCTTCCTATCTTCGGATGTCCATTCTAATTTTGGTTAAGGAATGTATATATCTTCCTGGTCATCAGCTTTGGACGTGCTGACCTTCATTATTCTGATAGGTCCAGCAGTAATTACTTCAAGCATTTCATCATGCAAAGCACTGAGATGTGCTTTCATCCTGATTTTCCAATCATCAAATTTGTTTAAGTTGAACAGGAGATTCTTTGCTAGTTGACTGTCCATTGTTAGAAAGTGTTTGGGAGGGGAAGTGGCTTTGGATCTTTAGTTCAAAATAGTCGGTAAATGACTCTAGGAACACTCAGCTCTGATACCACTTGATGGTCCCGGATAGGGTAAACGTATAGAGGGGGGTGAATAGACTTTTAAATCTTTTTCAATTTTAAAGTGTTTCTCCCTTTAAAGAGTTGATCTATAATCTTTTGAGAGAATTATAGACGCACAACGAAAGTCTTTACCCTTTATGGAATCAGTGTATGAATACTTTCTATCTTGGTGGAAGATTGAACCCAAATGTCTGGCAATTGGCTTGGCAGTTGGCTAGATAGCAGGGAACTGCTAAGGCAACTGCTGAGGATTTATTGGGTGTTTGATGAAAGTGATCATGGAATGTTGCTGAGAATAATGAGGGCTTTCAGAAAATGTGCTTTAGTAAAAGTAATCAGGAGTTTTACTGAAGCAGTGGTCTCAGCAGTTGGGTGTTGATGAGGGCACTGCTGAGGTACCTGCTTGGTTTAGAGGGTGAATTTCAGAGAGCAGTTTGGTCAACTTCCTCATTGGTGATGTTATGAAGGTCCTGTGATATTGAGATACGAGCAGAGGGCTCAGCAGTTGGGTGGACACCAGGGGACTGCTGAGGCACCTGCTATACTTAGAGAATGAATTTCTGGAAAATGATTGGACAAGCCTTTTAGTGATATTGATGCACGTCTCTTGTGTGAAAATGGTCTCAAAGAAAGTAAGTAATTTAGCAGTAGGATAAGCAGTTGGGTCAGTTAAGACAACTGCTTAGGATTCTGCTGGCAAACTTCAATCTTTTTATAAGAAGTGTTGGGTGTGTGCTTTGGTGAATGAATGTAAATCAACACACAGTGTATCCTGGTTCAGAGGTGGTGTAATCCTCCTACATCCACCCTCTTTCAGATGGATTTCACTAAAGTATTAAGTCCAATACACTTAGTACCAATATAGCCTTTACAACACTTAGGCCTAGATTGAAGGTTTTTCACAATGAGTATAGCACCACTCAAAGTGACTCAGTCCTTAGACTTTTCTCTAATGAACCAGTGGGGATCAAAAGGTACTCTATCTATCTACTCACACGTTAGGATCCGAACAACTATTCTCCTAAGTGTTTACAACAATATGTGAAATGTTACAAGAAAGTTCTAACCTCCAACTAGGAACTAAACTTCTATGATTTAGCAATGAATAGCTTGTAAACTCGAAGTTTAGTGAAGCATGAGTCCAAGCAGAGAGTAATGTTTAGAATAGCACTTTCTCTTTTGCTAGATAGCTCGTGAATGCTTGTGTGAGTATTTCTCTACTTTGGATGCTCAATGCTTGGTTAGAAACTTTCATTTCAGCCTATATTTATAGGCTTCTCCTTTGGATTAATCTCATCCGTTGGTTAGGATGAATTAATCTCTGACGTTGAAATTCTTGCAAGGACAAATTGTACATTCGTCTTCTTGTGTTGGAGCATTTATTTGGGATGATTTCTTTGTCTTGAGTATCTCAGCCGCTGAAGCATCTCTTCGGAAAATCTTCTCCTAATAATAATATATGCATCCTATGCTCCGGTCCCATGCATTAATTGCCTAGTCAATTTTTGTCTTCAATCATTTACATTCAATGTATTTGATTTTCCGAGCTTCTTTTCTTTAATAATGTGACATTCACTTAACTTTTGAGCTAAAATAATATATACCGGTAGGATCTAAATATATCCTATTAAGGTAAATAAAAATTACCTTATTGCATTTTAACTTTTCCGGTAATATTCAAATTGACTAAAAAATTATACATTTTATTTTGTCACATAATTTTGAATGCTAACACACGAACAATATTGAGACACAATGTACACGTGCTAAGTATAGTGACATCATCAAAATCTATCAAAATTGGGTACTAACACACAAGTTCAGAAGGAATCATCAACCGAGGGCCTAGTGTTGAACAGACATTTAGAAAACAATTCTAAGTCCTAAATGACTGACAACTCAAACATCAAAATACGAAGGCATTCATTCACAAGACAAATACGAAGGCATTCATTTCACAAGAACAAAAAACGAAGGCCGCAAGCTGCAGGATCTAGCTGAAGGGGAGAGGCCGTAAGCTGCAGGATCAAAGTCCTTTTGGTCCACCCCGAAGTGTTGGGCAAGCCTCCGGTAGACGAGGGCGTGGGTGAAGAACTCCCCCCAGCATAATAATCTTCGCCTTTTCGGGCTAGCCACATCGCCCCGGGGCCTCTCACCCACTCGTCGGCGGATGCCTCCACCACCGAAGCCACCCAGTCTTTGTGGCCTTCGGCCCTCCACCCCTCGGAAATGAAGGAAGCAACAGCACCAGCGACAGCCTCCACTTTAGCGGCCTCAGCCTCCTCGGCACCTTTCTTCGCGGCCTCGGCAGCGGCCCTCTCGGCTTCAGCTTTCTCGTTGGTTGCCTTTTCTGCCACGGCCTTTGCCTGCCGAAGCTCCTCTTCTAGCCGGACCATCTACCTCACGATCTCAGCATTATCGTGGATGAGCTTCTTCATAGCCTCATCGTGTTGCGCCTGATGAAGGCGCCACTCATCGAACCTCCGGGCATGTTCACAGAGGGCTATGTAGGCCTGTTATCAAAAGACAAAGGAGTTAGACTGTAATGCGAATACGCTAAATGGGTAATGGCGGAGGAAAGAAACTTACAGTAAGGGAGGACCGGAGGATCTTTGACTCGAGGGTCTCATCATCAACCTTGTTGAGGGCTGTCCTATCCAGCGAAGGAGTGGCCCCGCTCAGAAACTCCCGAGGGTCCACAGTGTCATGTGTGATGGCGGTCCCTTTCAGCAGGGAGAACTGTATATCCTCCCGGGGCAAGCCTACTTCACCCTTCTGTGCCAGGGGAAGGTTGGAGGCAGTAGTGGCCACCAGAACTTGGGGCTGGGAGGTGGAGTGCTCATCCACAATCACGACCGAGGGGTCCTTCTTCTCTGCATCCCCTTTCTTCAGCTTCTTGCCACTGGGGGCGACTCCCTTGCCGACCGCCTTCCTCTTGGCGGCGGCGGCGGCATCATCAGAGGGGGCGGTCGAGCGCTCACCCCCCCTTCTTGAAAAAATCGTCGACGGGCTTCTGCTTGCCCGTCTCCTTTTTCCCCTGGGCCTTCGCTTTTTGTTTCTTCAAGGTAGCAAAGGAGTTGATGTCCATGTTAACACCTGCAAGACAGCATGAGTAAATAAGGCCGAGGTGTTGGTCCCGGTTATACTGGATACAGTCTAGAGGGGGGGTGAATAGACTGTATTCGTTTTTAGCTTTTTAAACTAAGTACCAGATTTACAGAATAGCCTGTTCTGTTGAAAGAACAGACTGGCAGCGGATGGGGTTCTGGTAGGGAGTTCTGTTAGCCTCAGAGAAGCAAAGGCAGTAGGCCTTCTGTTAACTCGTAGAACAAGTTCTGCTGAACACGGATACCAAGTCCAAGGAGTTATACAGTTCTAATTAAATGCAATTATTAAAAGCAGTAAGTAAACGACACCGGGGATTTTTATAGTGGTTCAAGGAACAACTCGTTCCTCTAATCCACTGTTCCACTAAGCTGTAAAAACTGCCGTTTACAAAGCCTTAGTCCTAGTACTTAAGAAGCACTCCACGTCTTCTTCAAGCCTAGATGTGTCCTGGGATGCACTGCCTGGCTTCCTTTAACACTGGTCCTTTCACTGAGTTTCCTTGAAGTATCACCACTTCACTACTCCAGTTATTTGGACGTCCTTCTTGTAGCAAGAAGAGTTTCTGTTGAAACAGGGGTTCCTCCAACTAGCTTCGTTACAAAATATTTGTATGTGATGAGCTTGAAGAGTTGAAGAACACTTGGAACTTTGCTTGAGTTGGAAAGAGTATTTTTCCAACTTCTGCCTTCTCTTGTAGAAGATAATGAGTTTGAATCTCAAGGAGGCTTTTTGCTTTTCAGAGTTTGAATATCTTGCTTGTGGTTAGCAAAAGTTGCAATGTTATGTAGGCAAAGTTATCCGGTTGTTCTTCGTAGTGTATCTTTTATACTGAGGTTGTCTTCCCGTTGGAGGAGTAGGAGGACAACTGCATTTAATGCGCGAGCAGTTGACTTGACCAGTAGGGCCCGGTAAAGTTGGCGGGTTACTATTTTGGGATAAAGTAATCCTGACATTGCGGCCAATCATCTGCAATTACTCCACGGAGCATGGGGAGCATTAAATGATCATTTAATGCGAGCACTGTAGCTTTTCCGTTTCATACACCTAGCCGTTGAAGGAATCTTTAAGTTGACTTCCCGGCTTTGTGGATTTCTTCCAAGTGTCAGACCTTCTGGTGTCATTGGCAGAGAACTGATTCAGAGAAGATCATGAGCACCTCTGTTGTTGGTAGCTTACAGAGAACCAGGAGGGTTTCTGTCACGCTAAAGGGTAACAGAGACCCTGACGTTTTCTGTTCCTAGACAGAGAACCAAGATCTTCTGTCTGGAGGACTTCTGGTAGAGAGGCCCTCTGGTAGTCGAATATGCTAAGAACTTTACAAGGGAAAATTCTAATACATAATTTCTAAAGGGGTACTCTACAGTCCTAATTAATATAGCATCATCAAAATCTAAATACAATTATTCCTTACAATTTCCCCCTTTTTGATGATGCCAAAACCCTTTAACTATTTCCAGAGAAGTGCCTTCACCATAAAAATTTAAAGTTTAAAACTTTTCATTAAAATCTTGGTGGGCAACTTGGCATAGGAAAATAGTAAGAGTACGATACATTCAGATAGCAGTTCAAGAGAAAACAAGTACAGAATGAAATATTAAGCAACAAAGAATAAAGAAGCAAAGAGACTCTAGAAGGAGCAGAGATAAGCTTTTATTAGATCAAGAGTATTAAGAGAAGTTTAAAAGGAATTACAGATTTTCCCTTTCAGCTTCAGCTCTGGTTCTGCGATCTTGTTCCTTCAGATTCTTCAGTTCAGCATTCACTTCTTCTCTTATGCCAGCCAGATTTCCTAGTGCTTGACATGAGGCCCAAATGGGAGAGAGCTTGCAATTCAGATAGTGAAGTACTCCTTCATGTACATCCTTGCCTGGGAGTACTCTCTTATGGAACCAATATTCAGCCTCTTCCAAGGAACCACCATGTCTGACCCTTATATGACCATCTCTGTCAAGATAGAGATTCTGTCTTTGAGTTGGGGTCATCTTCTGTTGAATTTCTTCGAACTGTGCTCTATCAATCTTCTGGGAGCCTCCAAGTCTCCACTCAGTTAGGCTCAAGGGTTTCTTCTTCTTGGTAGAACCTCTGCGAGGAGAAGAAGGTCTTGAAGTACCAGCTTCTCTTTTCTTCTGTTGGGAGGCCTGGAAGTAAGGGGTAGGATCAATATCAGATGAGGGCCCAGCAGTTGGCCTAGGGGGCAATTTCTTCTGTTGGGGGTCCTTTTCCTTTTCCCCCTTTTTGGCATCATCCAGGTCAGAGATCATCATGGCAATTTTCTGGAACTCTGTTGCCTGGGAGATGGCTATCTGCTCAAGAGTTTCTGGCAAGGTCTGCGTGACAGAGGTCAGACCTTCTATTAAGTTCTGTTGACGATCAAGAGCAGACTTGATGTCCTGAGAGCCAGCTTCAAGTAGTATCAGCTTCTGATATCTTTCTTGATCCTTCTTGATCAGGGTGGCCACTTGATTTTTGTGATCATTATTCAAGAGTTGTAGCTGCATAAACTTCTCAGCAGATTGGTCTTCATACCATTGTACAATGTCAAGGGATTCTGTTATATCCTTGAGTTGCTTATTCTGCTTATTGAGAATCTGAGACTGGGAGTAGAGAACAGAGTGGACACCATCCACTTCTCTGGCAACAACATTAAGCTTTGCAGAAGATGATTCCATGAAGGTGACCAGTGTCTGGGTCAGAGCTTCAACCTTTTCGGAGATATGCTGAAGTCCAGCCTCAAGATGATTGTGAACAAAAGTGAGATGTTCATGATGCTTGGTGTTGATCTCAGCCAATTGATCCATTCCATCAAGCATTTTACCACCAAAATCTTCAGCTGCAGTGACAAACTGATTGAAGGAGATTTGGGGCTTATCTTCTTTGGATTCTGTGTTCCCAGGCATACCTAGACCTCTTGATTTAGGCATAGGAGGCCTTCTGGGTAGTTCTTCATTCTGAGGAGGGGTCTTCCTCCTTTTGGAAGTTTCATCAGCAGCAATGGAGGATGTAAGAAATCCATCATTGTCACTGGAAGAGGAGGGCACCCTGAAGATAGGTTTCCTGATGGGGGTAGAAGCCACAGAGTGTTGAGGAGAGATAGGTGTGGCTGCATCTTGTGGTGTAGGCTGTGGAGAAGCAGTTCTGGATTTCTTGATGGAGGGGTTTGCTTGATGATGTGAGGGAGCATTCTGTTGTTGTGGAGAGGGTGGAGGTGATGGTGATCTGGATCTGATTGAGAGTTGGGATTTGCAGGGAGATGGATTTTTGGTTTTGGGTGAGGAGGTTTTCTGTTGGGGTGAAGTTGTAGAGGAGATGACCTGTTGGTGTTGGTATGGGATAATTTGTCCTGGAGGGGATGGTGATTTGTTCTTTGGAGGAGAGAACGGTTTGCAGGGTGAAGGAGATGAAGATTTGGAGGTGAAGGGTTTCTGGTGTGAAGGGGTTTTCTGTGCAGAGATGGTTTTCTGTGGGGGTGAGGAGGATTTCTGTTGGGGTTGAGGAGAGGTGTTTTTAGGAGAGGGAGGGGGAGAAGGAATGATTGTGGGAATTACCTCTAGTATTGTTTCTGTGAACAGAGAGTCTCTCCATTCCTTGACAAGTCTTTCCATGACCAGAGGTAGATCATTGGCAGTAGAGGGTTCACCTTCTCCATGTGCACTGTGGCGAAATTTGATCATTGACTCCTTCCTCTTTTTCTCAACTAGCCAAGCATCAAAGTCATGCATCTCATGCTCTTGAAGAGCCTTCACATGGTCTTCTGGTGAGTTTCTGACCAGAGGTGCTTTCCCTTGAATTTTCTCCTTCTTCTTCAGTAGGACAGAAAGAAGAAAATCCTTGTTTAGGCAGGACTCCACATCTTCTGTGTCAGCCCATCTGAGTACTTCTTCTTCTTCAGAGATGAAGTAGGACAAGTTCTTGAGGAGTTCAGTGAGAGGTCCCACTCTCCACTTTCTCCATGCCAGAACCCTAATGAATTTCCTATCAGGGCTTGAAGTGCTTCTTACTTCTTGGTGTTCTGGTGAAGGAACCACCATAGGTTGATCATTTGCAGAGGTAGGAGGAGAAGAATGTGGTTCCCCCTGAGTAGTGGCATTCTGCACCACTTCTTCTTCTTCTGAGTCACTTGACTCAAAGATGATCCTCTTGCCGTGCCAAGCATTTCTGTTGGCTGGGGCAGAGGTGACAGTGTCCTCCAGCTTCTCCTGTGCTGCAGGTGTCAAAACTTTGGTCTTCTTTGCAATGGGGGAGGCAGAAGGGGTGCTTTCTGAAGAGATAGGTGAAGGAGTCTTTCTCTTAAGGACAGATTTCTTTGCCACCATCTTGTGGACTTTGACAGGTGTGGTCTTTTTCTTGGGAACCTTCTTGATCACCTTCTTCACCAAAGGTATTTCTTCTTCAGAGTCAGAAGGGGTAGGAGGTTTCTGTTGCTTCTTTGAAGCTTTCTTTGGTTGAACAACCTTCTGTTGTTGCCGTTCTCTGTTGAACTCAAGGGTTCTGAGTCTTTTCTGCTCTGCCTTGAGAGCCACTTTCCTGTCACTTGAAGTGTTGAGGAAGAGTAGCTTGGTGTAGTCTGCCTCAATAGAGTTTCT